TTGTATGCAAGCAAAAACTCGGGGTGCTATGTAATGTATGAAGAGAGTGCACAGAGATCGTGAGTCAGAATGCGGAATTTGATGGGTGGGTGTATAGATGAGCTTACCGTGCAGTAGGATGATACAGCGCTTTGGCCGAACCTGGATGAGATGAGTAGAGGTGATAGGGAAGTTAGCACTGATCAGGGTGGTGGATATTCAGGATAACTGTGTACAGCAGACTGACCAGGCGGCGGCTTCCTTGATCTTGATCGACATGCAGTTAGCGGCGCATGCGGGGATGGTAGGGCCGGCTGGGTTGGGGGGATTGTCACCGGCAGCTTGAGCGAGTGAGAGGCTGCTCAAGACGACAACCAAGAGGGCAGAGTTTCCGGAGAACATGATGTTTGTTGGGGTGTGGAGGAGGGTGTTGAGCTAAGTTTGGTGGTTTGGGTTGAGTTGCGGGTGGGAGCAGGTGGGAGTTGCGCGGGAGGACGCAAGAATAAACAAAGGACCAGTGTAAGGTGTGTTAAGGAGTGTCTGGGTGTGTGGAAACAGAGTGCGAGTGTAGGAAGTTGGAGGAGTAGGAGGAGGAAGAATGTGTGTAGACAGTCAGCAGGAGTCACCCAGGGCTTGCTATATATCCATATCCATGTTGTTGGGTTGTATCACTCTTCCTTCTGGATGTAGGGAGAGCAGCAGCTGGTGTGCAGCGAAACGCAGGGGGGGAGAGGGAATGCAGCCAGGCTGCTTGTGGACTGCACCGGTCCACACCCGAAGAGTGTTTCAAAGCGCTTGGAAAGGAGAGGAGATGGAATAAATTGGAGTTGTACACGCACATCGAGCAATCTGAACTCAACCAGGCGAACCTATCGGTACTAGTAGAACCGGCGGAAGAGCTGTGTAGTTCCAAAGTTGATGGCTTGGTCAGTCTTTCTTTCTAATTGAAAATGCTAGTATATATGTTAGTAATTGGAAGGGTACTAGTACTGGATCAGAAGAAAGAGATGGACTGGTTGGGAGAAGAGTTGGACAGGGCTGGTCGAAGAACGACTTACGACCAATCAGGCTAAGACAAAGGAGAAAGGGAAAAGGTGGGGGTTGGTTGGATTGGGTTGAAGCGATGGGAAGCGTGCGTGGAAGCAGATAAATTATAATGTTTTTTTTTCTTGGTTGGTGGTGGTTGGGGGGACAAAAGTGGGAGGTCAAGATATTTGAGACCAAGCATGGCTCACCGCCAAACATGGGGGGTGGTGTGTTTAGAATCTGGGAGAAGAAATTAAAGACTTGGAGATTCTGAAACACCCACATGACACAAGACGACACCAATTGACAGCTGATGACGAGATTCGGAAGAAAACAAGAATCTCTTTTGATCGTTGAGGTTTGAAGAAACCTTCAAGCTCTTGATCAATCAGACTTGGTTATTTTAAGGAGTAGAGCCTGTATGGTCTCAATTGTAGAGAATACTATTAAAAACAATTCAGCCTGATAATGATGATGATGATGATGATGATGATGGAGGATGATTGGGAGTCCGGCAAGGGTGGTGGTGGACGCAGCCAAGTATGTAAAAAGGTTTTTCTACACCATTCGATGGGGTGTTGCAGAAAGCACTTAAGACGGAGGTGGATGTATATGGGATGCTCGTCAGGCCGTACAGGGCAGTATGGATACAGCAGCGGCGCATATATGGATCACGCCGGGTGCAAATGTCGAGAGCGGAAGGGTGGATGTATGGATATATTTTATTAAGACAGATAAATCATGGCTCGCGATTGGAGAATCAATATGTAAATATGTAGGAATCAGTCGGAAGGACCTTCGATCGGAAAGCTTGAAGACAGGGGGGCATGTAACGGCAGCGTTGAGAGGGACTATAAATATATAGAGATTGAATGAAGGGGTACGGGTTGAGACTGTTGATGAAGGGTGAAGAGCGACTTACCGATGGCTTGTCTATCGGAGGATGAGTAAGACCGGCAAGCAGCTGGCAGAGCCCGAACGATGGCTGATGTGAGCTGGGTTGGACTCTTGAGAGAAAGGCTACTTGGCCTTGTTTGTTCAGAAAGTTGACTGGCAGCTTGGAATCCAGTCGGACGTTCTCTCTCTCTTTAGGGGCTCAGGATGACTGTTGGAAGGCTAGAACTACGTGGTGGAGGGATGCCCAAGAGTGCTTAATGGGTCTTAGGAATGGGGGAAATCTGCTGGGGGGAATCATATACCCATCGTCAGTGTTTCGTCGCGTGGCAGGATGTATGCGTCTTTAACCCAACACATGCTAATAGCTGTTGGATGTGTGGAAGCTGGGGAGTATGTAGGAGAATTGGAGTGGGAGACTGACCTGGGGAGTGGGCTGTTTGAGTCTGGGGGGGTGGTGGTGGTGGCTCGCTGGGTTTTAATAGATGAGCCACTCCTGCAAAGCTCTCCTTCTCTGCTCGTTTGCCATCTTCAGAGAGCAGATTGCTTGCAGGCCGTTAACTAGTGATCCTTTGATGGCCATCTTCCGCTAGTGTGATCCAGACTAAGGAAGTTGCTCGAAAGTGGTTCAGATTTCTGATGATAAGCTCGGCTGATCAGTCGATCTATCACTTCGATCAGCTGTAAGATCTTCCCCTTCTCGACTACATACCTCCTCACAAATATAGTCATCGTCGGGCTCAATTAAAAAAAAACACACACACACAGGGAAATAGAATCGGCGCAGTTCATCTCCAGTAAAGGCCTTGCATCATTATCACATCCACAGGAAGATACATATGACCTGCTCTTACAAAGGCTGGCCCCCAGAGGCAGATCAACTGCTGGGTATACCTGGCTATCTGGCACCAACTGGAATGACTCTTGTAATTAGATAGCAACATTGGCTTATCTTTGCTTCAAGGCTAAGTTGACTCAGTACCTCAAGGCAGAATGTATCTATGTACTTTTTATGTCTTTATCCCAAAGACTTTGTTGATTCTGGAACAAATATGAATTGAAACTAATCAGTAGTTGAACTGAGTGTTGTGAATGTATGTGAGAATAAGTTAAAGGCTGCAAATGGATAATCTCGAGCTAGAGAAAAAGAAAAGTTAGAACTGATCTTCTTAGATTATGAAGCTTGTCTGATAATGTTTACATCACTTGTTGATTTTGATGAGGAAAAGGAAATGTTATTCATCTCAATTGTTTGAGGAAGCAACAGATGATGATTTGTCAAAGCAGACTTGGCTCTTTTTTCCTTGATCAAAGGAAGTCTAACAAACATTAATTAGGTCCCAAATTGATTGATCTAAAACTAATGGATTTTACTGACACTTACATCTCCTAGGTTGATTGGCAGATGCTGAAGCTTGATGTTTTTGATTGCATGAAGTATCAAAGGGGAACAATGTGATTAGTCATAAATCATTCTAGGTTTGGATTCTTTGTGTAACTAACAAGAATATAGGTGATTGAAAATCACTGGAGTTGAAGATGGTTTTGGTTACACCAGCACCTGCTTGCTTGTCTATTGAGACTTGTGATGAGGTTTGCAAAGTACTGTCACAGAAATAGCACACAAATATTTGCATGTGCTATCAATCTGTTTTCAGAGAATTCAATCCAAAATTATGACTCACTTTTAGATTTCCTTTTGAAAGGAATCTGACCAGGAATGCTATTCTATGTAACATTTTGATGACTATTTCTAAAACCAAAAAAAACAAGAAAGTTTAAGAGCAAATAGAGAGAGAGAGAAGATGGAAAGGGCAAAGAGGTGATGTTTGAGGAGACAGAGTCAAAAAAAGATTGAGTTTTGGAATTGTTTTACAGATGATGAGAAATGTATTGCTGCAGATCACTTTGGTTGGGGAGTAAGTGAAAGACATGTGTGTTGAGCTATACATGTCACCAGTTTCAACTTTCATTTCATCATTATAGCTACATTGGTTGTCATGCTTCTTCCTGTTTTTCATCTCTCACATGTATCTTGTTTTTATTTTGCTCTTATACTGGAGCCAACAGTGCTGGAAAGGATTCCTTTTTCTTCATCCTTTCCAATCCTGTTGGCTCCAGGTTAGTTTCTTTTCTTTTCTCTTTTTCTCTCTGTGTTGAATTGAACCTCATCCTTTCCAATCCTGTCAACTCCAGTTCACCTCAACAATGTGAAATGAGAAAAAAAAGAGAAAAGAGTCACAAGGTACAGTTGATTCAAGAAATATTATGTGACTAAAAATTAAAAAAACATGATCCCTACAAGCAACACTGGGCCAGCTACATTAATGGTAGTGTTGGTGTGGCACAGCATAGCTCAATTCTGCAAAAGTTTAAAAGAGCTGAATTATGCCCCATCTGTGATAACACTTTGGGCACAGGTACCTCAAATGTGTCTGAAAAGTGCGCTAGCTTTCTGGTTAGCAGTATTGTGGCCCTGTAGCAGCCCAGGGTGCAGTGTGGTGTAGCAGAAAACCACTAGCACTACAAAATTTTCACACAAAAAAGTGCAGCCCTTTTTTGGGAAAAGTAAATGCAAACCACATAGAACAAAAACATATTTTAACATCAAACATAATTACATATTAAAATTGATGAGGCTATATAATATTTTAGACCACAAAATTTAATTTATCAAAAATCACAATCATTTTAAAACATGATGATTCATAAAATACTTTATAATATATACAAGAAAGGCCATGTAGATACTAACTTCCTTTCTAGATTGTTTATATGAGGCACTCATCATACAGGAGTTCTTATACTAGAGATGGTTGCTCCGCATCCGGATATCCAGCTGCTTTTTTTTTTGGCAAAATGGCCATCCGCAGCCGCTGGCGGGTATCCGTTGGCTGCAGCGGGTATCCACAGATACCCTCCCTTTAAAGGGCCGGCAAGGGACCGTCTGGAAGGGTTTCCTTCCAGCAGGCGAGGTACGTACTCAAAGGCTGGAAGGGTTTCCTTCCAGTCAACAAGGTACATGTACCTTGCCGGCTGGAAGGGTGTCCTTCCGGTCAACAAGGCATGTACCTCGACGGCTGGAAGGAAACCCTTCCAGACGGTCCCTTGCCGGCCCTTTAAAGGGAGGGTATCTGTGGAACCCCGCTGCAGCCAACGGATACCCGCCAGCCTGGTATCCGCAACAGATACCCGTCAACCATCTCTATCTTATACTACTTTTAGAAAATCTACTCTCATAGATTTAGTCCACAAAGTATCAATCTCAGAGTATTTTATCTTTATCTCATCCCCCCCAACTGCTGGTCCGCCTGGCATTTGGGAGTTGTTTGCCCCATTGCCAGTACTGTGGGAATGGGAGTTGAAGCCCCCACCCCTCTCCCCCTCCAAAAAAAAGTAAAGCCCCTGGAGAGGTTGGCAGTTGATGGCCCAGAAAGTGTATACTCTCAACAGTGGAGAGGAATTAGGTTTTCCCTCTGCTGTTGAGACTGTACACTCTTCATGGCTAGGAGGATCACTCTTGGTTGTCACTAGTGTATACTTTCAACACTCATCTGTTGAGAGTATGCACTCTTGAAGGCCAGGAGGAATCTCAACAGCTGAGAGGTTTCCTCCAAGCTGTTGGGGCTTGTAGCCAGGAGCAAACTGCCACCCCCTGGAAGGTTTGGGCCATTAACTGACAACCCCTCTGGGGGTTTTAATTTTCTTTTTTTGGGGGCTCCAACTCCCATTCCCGCTGCGGGAATGGGGGGGAACAACTCGAAAATGCCAGGGAGACTGAAAATCAAGGTAGGGCATCCTCAGATGGTCTTCCCACTCTCCTCTTAATGACTCCTAGAGCTCCCATCTTTGGGATTCAATTAACTCAGATCCTTCTGATATAACCAAGATTAATCTTTTGACCTATACAAGGCATGCTGTTTATATGATGCTGAAGATAGCCTGAGATATCACTTTTTTCCAGTTGGAATGCTTATAGCACAGTATGCTTCTATCAAAACCAATGTTGTATTTATCTCTTGCTGGCTCTGGATTTCCTACTTTTTCCTCACTGAATTTAAACCACATTCATCTTATCTTTCCAGTCACTTGTACAAGACTCAGAGTCTGTGAATTTCAATTCCCAAGCCTGGTCCAGCTCTACATGTCCTCAATGTTGATGAAAGCAGCAGTTGGTGTTACATGTTTTTATTGGTTTGGTTTTTCTCCAAACATTTTATGACACTTCCCAACATGGGCCCTAAACTATCCTTTGGGAAGCAAACTCTTTTAATGTCAGTGTCAAGAATTTAGCTTCAGGTTGGTAAAAAATGTTCATATGTAGAAGAGACTGACACTTACTGTCCTTCAGCCCCAAAGATATGAAAGTTGGATAAAATAAGGCATGCTGTTGCAAGCCAGTCTGGGAAAAATCCAAAGTTCCAATTGGTCAAGTGTTTGGATAGTGCCCAGAGAGCTTGATTGAACAGCTTCAATTTTGAATCTTTTAAGTCCAATCACTGCCTTTCTTGACCAATATGACTATCAGTCAATTCAACTGGCCCATTGTCTGAACATTGCTGAAATGATGTGGTTCAGATCTTCTGAAAGTCATTGAGCCATAACTTTCCAATTTCAATACCAAGAAAAGAATGATCCAAAAACAAAAAACAAAAACTAACTTAGAATCAGTTACAGCCACATGTGACCTTTCTTTTCTTTTCTTTTGGCTGACATTTCCATTTGCCTCCAATTGTTATTTTTTTATTATTATAAAAAAACCAGGCCTGCCATGCTGGTTGAGAGTCTAGCAAATGACCCACCAATTTTTGATGACCATTGTTTGATCGGGCGTAGGTCTTAATGGTGAGTGGTCTATGGCACTTGAACTGTTAAGGCCAGGGGTAAAAAAAAAAACTACACAAGAAGGATAGAATAACACAAGCTGAAAACTTCATGCACCAGCTGTATGTAATGTAATCACCATTTATGTAAATTAAATCTTTCCGGAGGAGGAGTGATCTCGGCTTCCTTCGAGGATCCAAGCACGAGTCTATGTACTTACAAAATCGCTGAGACATACCATGTGCCCTTCTAGCGAAGCGTCTGCTGTTTCGGGTATACAAATTACACACGTACATTATATTGCATGGTTGTCAAAGAAGAGGAAAGGTCAGGTCATAGTGAAGCTAGAATACAATATCGGTTTGTGTTTGCATATCAGTCGTAGCTCTACTGTTTAGTTATGTGTATCTAAATAAAAGTATAAATCAAAGGAAAGGAAAATGTGAATGTGAGATGATAAATCACGCAAGGAGGAGGACGATTGAAGCGAGTTGGGAATGGTCTATCGAGCATTCAGACTGAAACCGTAATGGGAAAACAGGAACTTGTTATGGTGAGGATATGATCGTGTATCGGGTTGGTTGAGAGTATATGTAGATGAGAGATCGGGCCAAGGTAGAGAGAACCAAGGATCGGCGAGTGTTGTGAAGAAAGAGGATTGATGAGGTCATGAACTACAGTGGGATAGACTGGCCCCACAAGCTTGGGCGAGCAGGATATAGATGACCATCTGTTCGAACAATCAGTGATGGTCAGCACAAGAACGGTATGAATGATACGGTCGAGATTGTAAGGATAATGGAGAGACGAGAGTGACTAAAGTGGGGACTGACGAGGACGACGATCGCACTGAGAGCGATCATCCTAGTATTCTTCCACCACATCTTACGCCTGAGGACCTGGCTCCGCTTACGGAATGCGCTAGACTGAGCGCTAAGGTTGTCGGTCTTGTCGAGTAGAAGTTCGATGCGTTCGCCCCTGTTCAAGATCTCGCCGACGTTCTTGATCATGATATCTTTGACGCTAGCCAGTTCGGAGCGGGCGATATTGATCTGTTGGTTCGATCCTGATGGGCCTGGCTGCTCGGGTTGGTTTGGTTCGCTGGCTTGTAGGTTGTAGCTGGTCAGGAGGCTGACTAGTTCTGGGTTGAAGCTCGTCAGTCCGTAGGGAGGTGTGGATGGTAAGTCGGAGCGAGAGAATTGGTTGAAGAACTGCGAGTATTTTTTTTTTTTTTTTTTTTTTTTTTTTTGATTCATCTGTTCAGCTCTCGGTGAGGGGTTATGAGTGATCTATAGCTAGAGTAAGATGCCGCCTACCTTTCGTTGCAAGTCGTTTAGGAAGGTGAAAGGGATTTTACGACCCAGGGATTCCTCGGACATGCACATGAAAACGACATCGTGGGTCTTGATGTAATGACTACATAGAATGGATGTATTAGTGATCTATCCAGCCGTTATGTTTTTTTTTTCTTTTAGAAAGTGACTCACAAGAGATAATCCTCTGCGGCGTAAGTAAGACGAGAGTCATTCGGAGGTATCTTGGATAGGATCGTGGAGCTTGCTAGATTAAATAAGTCAGGAGATCAGTCTCTTTCGGTTGTCGCAACTGGCTGATGAACTGACCTTTTGAGAAGTTCTTGGTTGAGTCTATGGTATGCTCGGTGAGTATCTTGGTACCATAAGCGACGAGTGCGCAGAGTAACATGGTCGACTATCAGTTGGTGGATGATCAGGTTGTGTGTAGAGGAGGAGTCAGTTGGGGTCGAGGTGGTGGTGGGCGGTGGCGGTGCCGAGTGGAGTGGCGCGTGGGAAAAAAAGCAGGGGGTGACTTGGAGCAAAGCCGGGGCGGAGGACACGTCAGCAGCAGCAGCAGCACCCACTACATAACATACAACAATCCACTCCGATCACTTCCTCAACTTCTTGATCACAAGCCACCGAACGAACGACAACGAGTGGACAGCTACATACATACGAGCTCAGGATCATCTAGATGCCTCGATCGGCAAAGACGAAGGCTGGGCGCCCCAGTCCCATCGACAGAACCAAGCACACCCCCATCGTTTCGAAGGCAGCCGCCGCCGAAGGACCCAGCCAGCCAGCCCAGGAGTCAAACGAGCCAGCCCTCAACAATCCAATCATCGTAGTACATCCCAAGCACAGGCACATTAAACGGGACCCTCCACCCTACGACCCTAACCTGCCAATCATCACCGAGAACAAATTCTACACCATATCCTCTTTCCCACAGGATCTTCAAGCTGAAATGATCAACAAAACTCACCTGCAAGTCATCTCTGACTACTTCTTGAAAACTGATCAGATGCGAGAATTGGCCCATTGTTATGGTGAAGTGTTCTTCTGTCATCTTCACTCTTTTTTGGAAAAACAAAGTGATAGCCCTTGAATTTTTATAATCATACTGATTTTGTTTTCATTTTTCCTTTTTCTAACTCTCCAGGTTTTTTCTTTATCGAGGGACCTTGGGATCTTGACGAGCTTAGTATACTAGAGGAAGAACTGGATCGATTTTGTCAAACTAGAAACTGTCCTAAGCAATCACTTGGCAAGGAACTCAAAGGTAAAAAAACGGAACTTGACTTGGTTCCAATACTTGCACAGAAGTTGATCTGGCGAGAAAAAACTGCGATCGTCAACAAACTTAAGTACGAATGTACCTACCGTCCCTACCGTCAGCCAGATCAAAAAACGGCTCGTAAGCTCTGGACTGAGGAAGAACATGGGTTCTTGCTGCAAGCACTCCAAGAGCCCCAGTTTCGGTTGGAAGATAAGCACGGCCGCAAGAAGGCCATTTGGGAAAACGTGGTTCAACATTGTAAGACACTTGGTCATTTTGACAAAGATTATAAACAATGTCAAAGAAAATGGTGAGTTTTTTCCCTTTTTTGTTGGGGGGGGGGGTGGGGAGGACTGAATATAATTGTGCTTTTTTCATATACACAATTACAGGCGTGAATCTTCAGCTACTAGGATGAATACTGGCGGACATTTTCACCAATTCTTTCACGGCGATTGGTGTAAATTCTTAATCCGGTTGAGTCATTTTTTTTATTGTGACGTACCATCATCAGCTTTTTGAATTTCAAAAGCTAATATCAATTTGACAATTGGTCATGAGCAGACTTCGGGATCATGATTTCCAAGGCCCATTAGGCTTTCCTTGGAGGCAAGTCCAGTTTGGTGATTTCACTGCTGCACACCTCCGCAGGCTTTGGAAAAAATTTGGGAAGCCTGAGGCAAATGATAGCTGTAAGTGA